GAAATTCACACAGGATTCACTCTGAAAATAAATCTGTTGAACTGAACAGAAAGTAAAGTAGCACATTACTCCTACTTCAGAGGCGTGCAAGGATTCAGAGCACTTACTGTCGTGCATAGTTTTAAGTGCTTTAAAATAAAACTCAATAATTAGGGTGGCCATTCTCAATAATTATGGCTATAGTTCACAATCTAAGCACATCTATGTAGTTTTAAGTCCTATTGACTTTGTGCCTGAGTTTTTGGAGTAGGATAACTGGCACAAAGAATAAAGGTTGAAAATCATATTTAAGCAATGGCAGGCTGGTGCTTAGTCACTCACTGCTCAATTCTGCATTAGGATTGCCGACTTGAGATACTGAGTATCCCTCCCTCCCAATATAAGGGGGCTCGGGTAACACCATACTTTGCAGGATTGCACCCTTCATCCTCTTCATCCTTTGGGAGGAGCTGAGACACTTTGGCTCTCATCACTGAAAAGGCGCTGGTTGAGTATCAGTGGGACACATCCCACAGCCTGGCCCTGTTCCTGCCATGACATGTGCGAAGGCTCCTCTTCCCTAGAGCAGGATCAGGCCCTGGCTCTTGGATGTAGCAGGGCAGCTTCTGATTTTGCGTCCAGCTGTGCCTGTAGAATGGGAGCAAATACAGACATGTCCTTACCGGCACGGGTTCACTGCCCATTTTCCCATGTGTTTCTCAGGTGTGGAAATAACATGGATACGTTTCTGTAAGCTGTGGATTCAAATGCAGACCTTCATTTGTGGCCTAGTGGAGTGTGAATGATTGGAAGGGATTGCACAGAAATCCATAAACTCGGGGAAATTTCCACACAGCTAGTCTGCAGTAGATCTTTAAAATCCTTTCTATCCCCTGCCAGACCCTTAAGAAAGGAGAGATTTTTGCTTGTTTCCAGCAATGTTAGACTGACAGGATAACATTGGCCTGATTTCACATGCACCCCTACACTAATTGTGGGTTATTTAAGCTGCTCCCCATTACCACAGCATGAGAGAGATTCTACTGATCATGAAGGAGGCTCGTTGCTTATCTCCTTTCTGCATTACAGAAACAAGATAAATAGAAAAGGAGAGTGAAAATGGTCTCTACAATTTACTTCCTTCTTTACTTTACACCTGCCACCTTTTGGTTTTAGACTACCTTGTTTCACAGTGCTTTACACTGTATCCTTTCACAAGGATGTGTATCTGTCAAAAGGCCAGAAATACATCTATGCAAAGAAGCAAGTTCGTGTCCTTCCTAAACAGATGGACTAGGCTACTGGAGGCCAACTTGGCTTAGCTAGGACAGAAGCAGAGAAATTCATCAAAATCTTACAATTTTAAGTAAGATTTATTTTTAACCCTATTTTTGGACCAGCAAAAATTGATGCCTGTTCAGTGTAAATTGGTTCTTTGCCAAATTAAGGTTAGTTGACGTGAGACTTTCAAATCGATTTCAGAGTGTCCACACAGGAGCTTGGACTGGTTTAACAGAATTGATTTTAAAACACACCTTTAATTAAACCAGTGCAACTTTGTGTAGATAGAACCTTGCAAAATCAATTTCACATTATGTTCCATGACAGGGAGTTCTGAGCTTCCATTATCTCAAAACCAGAGGTTTCTTTGAAAAGCCAGGATTTGCAAAGGGTATCCTGCTCAGATCAGCCTCACTTACTGTTACTAACAGGACTGTGTCAATAACAGAGTTTAAAAAAAGGTTCCTCCACGTAGCTTTATCTTTAAGGTCTTTCCCCCCACTGTCTCTTGTCTCCCATCTCTTCCCCTCATGTCGAACACACCCTTTCGGAGGGTTTTGTGGCAGTTAACTATTTCAATCAGGAAATGGTTTTATACTAATATCGTTAAACCAATACTGTTGCTAATACGGTGAAGTTATATACTGTCAAGATAAACTCTACTGATTATGCCCTTTTTATGCTGTATGGTCTCCACTCTGAGAGGTTGCACCAGTGTAATTGTATTAA